TCTGTTTCTGTCCATCCTCATCTTTACATTCCTCTCCATCTCTACATTCCCCTGGTGGTTTAGAAATATAGACAAAACCTCTGTTGCCATTCTGTCCATCTCCCTTCTCCCACTTCTCTCCCCCCTCTTCCATCCATCCATCCTGTCAGCCTGTTCAGACACAGACTGAGCAATGAATCCATTTTCTCATACCTCCATCTTTCTCCCTCAGACTCTCTCTGTATCTTCAATAGAATAAATTACTGCATGTTTGGACGTTAGTATTTAGTATTAGATTACAGTGTGTCTCTCTATATCTCTGTTAGATATATTTGCTAATGGGAGAGGATACAGTATGTGTAACTCCAGCTTTATCTATCATTTTATCTATGTATCCTGTTACTCTGCTCCGTTGCTGCTGCTGTTTGTTTACTCACACAAACCTGGAAACACAATGCTTTGATGTTTTCTGTTTGCATTTATTATTTGAGGAGGTGATGTGTTCAGCGCTGCTTGTTTGTTCATCTGTTTGTCTCTTAGTAGGAAATCTTAAAAACATGTGAACAGATTTCAGTAAAAGTTGGTGGAAAGTTCAGCTACGGGCTGCAGAATAAGTGACTCGTTTACGGTGCGAACCCAAAATGAACCCAACATTTCTTTACACCGGGAGATACATCAGGGTGTTATTGAACATTACCACTATCTTCCCATGGCTCTTCTGCCACTTGAATAATAAGGAATTCAGTTTGTAGGCGGTGATCAAAGTGTATTGTGTAATATGAAACTTTGAATGTATCACCATGATATACTGATGACTTTTTGTAATTCCAGCAGGAGTCAGGATTATAGGCACTAAAAGAGGATTGGCTATAACTTGCATTCAACTCTGAATTATAAAAGCAGCAGAGAGTTGAATATCCTTGATAATTACTATGAATGCATCAACACTTCACTATTAATGAATATTGAAGGCAGTGAAATAAAAAATAAATTTTCCAGCTCTAAAAGTGTCTTTTCAGTCTATTATAATATAATTTAAAAAAATATATATGTTTCATCTTAAACTCAGGGTCGTGTACATAAACGTATCCAATTGAATCTGATATGAGACTTTGGATCTTAGTCTGTGTTTCCAAAAGCATGCAACTGCTTAATTCCCCCCTCGTCCTCCTCCGGATCCAACAATGCAGGTAAGGGAGGTTTTAACTTGTCCTATGCAGATCTGTATCCTTCTGCTTAACAACACCTGTTTTAGTGGTCCAATCAAATCAGAATTTTTTGATCTAAACTAAACTTGAAAATATGTCACATCAGAAAAATCTACTACGTTCTGTTTTCATATAACGGCAACTAAGGATTACTTTCATTCTCGACTCATCTGTACATTATTTTAATAATTAATCAGTGACCATTTTTGTCAATAGTTAAAAAGTCATAAGTTACCAGAGCTCAACGTCTGATGATGTCCAGCCAAAAGTAAAACCAAAAGATTTCTGTGATTCAAAACAAAAAAGCAGCAAATCCTCACACTGGTGGACCAGAGAACATATGGCATTTTGATCAATTATCCAAATCGTATAGTTGATTTGTTTCCTGATGATCAGCTAATTGCTCAGCACCACATATATTATTCTTACATTTTGGAGAACTGTGCAGCCTTGGAGGTTTTCTCATTTTAAATGTTTTGCATGAAAATTAAAGCTTTTTTTGAATAATTTCTGTGCTTATCATCTACATTGTTCTCCTGCTCGTGTTTGGTTTTTCTTTTAATTCGTTTTAGGATGTCAAGGTCTTCAAGGAAACATTTTAATTCAATTTCATTTCAGTGTTTTCACTGTATTTACGCTCTGCAGAAGTTTTATCCACCCGCTGGTTTTTCGATCACTTCAGAGTCTGAAGCAGAAGATGTATTATTTACTGTCTATCTCTCCTCCTCTCCTCCCTCCATCTCTCTGGCCTGTTTAGGAGCACTCTTCGGTCTAGGATATATTCCCCTGTGTTGTGTTTGTTTTTCTTCTTCTTCTCCTGTTTTATTTTTGCGCGGGCAGAGTGAGTAGCTCCAGTTAATTAATACTGGGCCGGGAAACAAACGCCTCTCCACCAAACTCAACACTCCACTTCAGAGGCCCTGCGGCTGGCAGAGTGAGATGGGCACCGAGAGATGGGATGTATTCATTAGCAGCCTGCAGTAAGGTATTACACCTCCGCTGAGAGGCCGCAGTGCTGAGCGCTGTCCTCGTTAACGGCCTATCAAAGTGCAGTGGCGTCGAAATCGGCGGGTGAATCATCAGGCCGTCTGATCCATCGCCCGGTACTCCCATGGTATCATTTTGTAGTGTTGGACGGGTTTCTGGTTCTACTTTTCTTCTTGTGTTGGACTCGTGATTATGTGCAGCTCAACGCCAAAACTGCTCTCATTCATTGACTGCACTCCAGTCATGTTTAAAAATTAACTAGATTTTAATTATTTTTGTTTGGAAAGCACAAAGTGTCTGGGATGATAAATATAAGAAGCATTTACTTTTTCTTGTGACATATGTTTTTCAAACCCACAATAGTTTTAATGATGCACGGTGTTATTTGACCAAACTGGGTTGAAATATCTAGCTTTAAATCGACATTTTCTCTGTTTTTCTATATTGAAATGTGATGTTCTGGCTGTGGTTGCCTGTAAAGGCTGAATGAAGCAGTAGATGTAAGACCGTTGTTTGTCCTCCAATAATAAAATACGAGGAGCATTAAGCCATCTGATGCCTCCATCATCAGGACAAACCTGTTTGTTACTGCCTTCCAACAGCAACACACATTGGCAGTGTCATAGAACATCAATTGATGCTCAAACACCCGGCACAGCATGTCAGGCAGAAAAAGAAGTGATCAGATATCTTGTATTATACTATGTATGGTATCTATATTGTATTTTACTCTTTAAACTCTCCCCATTGATACAATACGGCCAAAAAACATTCGGAAAGCTTAAAAAAAGAAAGCAGCTGCTTAACAAATTAGTCAGTTAATCATTAATCAGTTTGCCTCAATGTGAGATAAACAGATGACAAAAAGCACAACACTCTCAAACTTCATCAGCGGTAAATCCATCAGTAACAAAGTCTCCAACACTTCACAGAGAACACCATCTCCAAATCTTTACCAGAATTTTACTTGACTAACCATCCACAAAACAGCTGGGCCCTGGGGGTGTCTCTGCACCTGTCTACGTGTGAGTAGGGGGCAGTTTTACTGCACCTGCTTGGCTCATCGTCCATAATATCGATTCGATTCCCAGCTCCCCCGGTACAGTCAAGTCAAGTGTCCTCAGGCAAGATAATAAACCCCAAATTGCTCCCGATGGCTGTGTTGTCGGTGTATGATTGTATGAGTATGTGGGTTTATGGGTGAGCTCAGTATGATCATGAGCACTTTGGATAGAAAACGCTGTATCGCTCATGATGAGCAGGTTGGCACCTTGCGTGGCTCTGCCGTCAGTGTATAAATGTGTGTGTGAATGGGTGCATGTGGCAAGTGTTGTAAAGCTCTTTGAGCGGTTGGCAGTCCATTTATTATTTGCATGGCCACAAGAGGATGCTCAACAGATGACCAATGCAATCTGAAAACACGAGAGCAAAACCACTCACAGCATCAACCAGGAGTCAGTGGATGGAGAAGGATCAAGGAGGACATTCACATCTGACTCCACAGACAGCTATTACCATCTCCCCCCATGTACACCCACCCACCATGACCAAAACTTCATATTTAAGTCAAATGATAACACCTGAACCAACTCTGTCCACTGATTGAGAGTTTGAGACGTGGATAAAAGCTCTAGAAATATAGTAGTTAAGATGATTTTGTCAAGCATCTAGTTGTTTTTCTGATAAGGACAGTCAGTCTCATTTTGGAAACTCAAAACAGTCCACTTCTAAGGAGGTAGAAATATCCTCTCAGCTTTGAATTCAGACAGACTGTTCCCCCAGAGCTGTCTGAAATTTGGATCCCTCTACAGCTTCTAAATAAAGAGTCTCCAATTACAGTCTCTCCTGCAAACAACACTGTCTTTAGTTTTAATGAGAAACAAACCATTTGCTGGAAACTTGCACCTGAATGTTCACACCTCTTAGAGATTTTGGGGAAACGGCCAAAGCTTTCACTGGGGCTGTGTTCAGTAAAAATAGTTTGCTGTGATTGTCAGTCTGTTTATCCTGTTTAGAGTCATAGATTAAATTGGCAGGACAAGCACTAATCCTCCAATGTAAAAACAAAGGAGATTTTAAGAAACGCTGTACCTGACAGAGTGCAGTGAAGTGTGAGTCTGGGTTTTTCCACAAATCAAGGCAAAAAAAGCCTTTTGTCAAAGTCAAGTCAAGCTGGCAGATCAGGAAAGCGTTTCCACCATCTTTGCTTTCACTGAGGCATGACAAAAGTGTTTTATTTACCCATGTTTGACATGGAAGACTTTGTCTTTGACTCAGAGGTTGCTTTTCTGTCTTATTTCTGTCATTACAAAGTTTTTTTAAAGGCACATTGAATCAGCCAAGTTGGGCTAATTGAGGACTGTGGTGGTGGATTTCACTTAATTTGGACGGAGAATCAGTTTCCATCAAAAGCTTTTGAGCAAGTATTGGCACCCACGACTGGACTGTATATGGCAACCCAGCATGCCAGATTTATGAAAACGCTAGTATTCCTTGACATTTTAATTTAAATGATATGCACTATTAATGGGTCAGTTTAATTAGTTTTTTAAATATTTGTAAAATTTTGGCCATGAGTACAGACTTGGTTTTATGTGGCAACATTTTAAAATATTGGTGGAAAGTAGAGAAGAAGGGGGTTTTGTTTGTTCTATTAAAAACATTAAAAATGACATTTGAAGAACAGCAACATCTTTAAAGAAATGGCCGTCTAATTCAATTGTATTGTAGTATTTTAGTGCTTTAAGGAACACAAATTCCATTTACCTCCACTGTATTGGGGCAGACTCTATATTATACAATATAAAATAATATCATACTCCTTACCTTCCTCAGTCTCATGCCAGACAATGCCCTCCAGGTTGACGCTTGTACCGGGCTGGCAGGGCCCCAAACAGGCCGAGTCGCCCTCCAGTGCTCCTGAAACGCCACTATCCTGGGTGTTGGTGCCTATAGACCTCGTCCTCACCACCAGCTGCTTGGGGTTAGAGGTGGGCAGGGCCGGAGGGGAGAAGGAGGGGGCAGAGGGCAGAGAGGATCCGGGGCCCCCGGGGTGGCCTGGAGCAGGGGGAGCTGGCACTGTGAACATGGGGTCCACCTGTAGGGAAAAGGAGAGGATTCATTAAATATCAGAGAAAGACACTGTCATGCATGGTAATATGTCATTTTACTTCACTACCATTTTATTTTTGGTATTAATCTTTTAGTTCAATTCAAGTTTCATTACATTTAATGAAATTTAGTTCCATGTGCTCTCCAGAAAAAGCAGAGGAGAGAGGGAGACAGAGAGTAAAAAATATAGATAAAAAGATTATTAATGTCATTTCAATATTACTGACGTGAGTCCTCCTGACATCTGATTATTTGAATGTTGGATCCCACTGTAGGAGACATTTTCTCCAAATGTCACACCATTTATTACTCTATCCACAATCTGCACTTACCAACGTCCTAATACTGAGTGGCAGCTAATCATCTCTCCACTATATCCAGACTTAGAAAAGCTTTTTTTTTACCCCGTCTATTTCGATTAATCAACATCTCTCTATCACAAATCCACATGAGTCCATAAAAGGCAAATATTGCATCCTCATTCACTAGTTTCTCGGAAGAAAGGCAAAATATCCCAACAGAACATACATACAGAAGCTGCACATTATAATTAGCTGCCACTTTTGCACAGAGCGACTTGGCAAAAATCTGCAACAGTATAATAAGGCAACATTACTGGAGCTCATCCAGTGTGACTATAACAACAATAATGGTTTCTCTACTGACATGGGAAATGGGATTTGTATGCTGTTTAAGTCTTCTGTGGGTATCAGCTTCTCCAAAATGGGGTTCAGCAATATGCAGATTATTTATTGATTTTTGTGGTTTACAGCAAGACATTAAAGGGAAACCTACAAGCTGGGTGTTATTCTATTCATTCAACATTTTACTCACCAACTTCTTTTGAGAAGTGCAGACTCTGGCAAGAATGATTATTTGGGAAAGGAGCCTCCTACAGCTTTTCCAAAAGCTTCAGAAATGATCTCAAACAGCAGCTACAAGGATTTCTAGTCTTTACTTATGATTGAATTAAAAGATGATGGGTTCAGGAGAATATCTGTTACACTGATTCTTTTTGTAAAGCTGCAGGAAACTGGTAACCTTGCAAACCAGCTGGACTCACCAGATCACACAGTCCATCTTTACAGGCTTCAATCTATGTATTTGTTTTTTTGTTTTAGTAACAGGAAAGGGGGGGGGAGAGGGGATGACACACAGCAAATGCCCACAGGCTGGAGTCGAGCCCATGGACACTGCAGCAAGTCACTCAGCCTTAGTACATAGGGCACCAGCTCTACCAGGTAAATTATATGAGCACCCCAACCTATGCATTTGCGTCAGACCAATCAGCAACCTATGGTGAACTAATGGGAGCTATAGATGAGGTGCGTGTGTGGTTTAACGCTAGCTGTGTATAAGGACATTGGGAGTAGTGACTGTTCACTTGAAAACAACAATGGCTAATGAGGTTAGCATAGATGCTGCTAGCATCAGTTATATCAGAACTGGAAAATATTTCTTCATTGAAAGAAGAGATCGGCACTGAAGTCAGATCTTGATGGAAAAGATGTTGTTGCTCTTCTCCTACTGGCTTCAGTAAGAGTTTGACGTTATACGTTCACTGATCTGATTTGTTGTCGTTGGTAGTTTTCCACTTATAGATGGTGATCGACAGATGGTTCATCCAATCAGTTTTTTGAAAGTGACCTGGCTCATTAATGTTCCTTATTCAGCAGATTGCTATTATCCCTGAGTGTATTGCATTGTACATCAGCTCATTTTATTTCTTATGAGAGGAGAAGAATACGTTAATTCTTCTTTTATATGTTACATAGTCTAGCTCTAAGGCCACATTCTGTTAAAATGTAAAACAAACATTTTGCCCTATTTGCCAAAAAAAGTCTGGAACCTGCTGAAACTCACAAAGTGTCAGACTGATATTTTATTAACGGCAGGCAACAACTACATCAAAGTTATTAAAAACTGGAGAATTTCCCTGAGGCTAAGCCTGACTTCAGTTAACCTAAAGAACTGATTCAGGTCTGGTCCAAATTTAGACTTCCTGTTACCTTGTTTTTGAAAGCCTAAATGATTGGACCGCCCCATTGGGAGGCTGCAGGAGAATTTGTGTTAACTGAAAACCTTCATGTAGGGCAGAAGAAGAAGAGTTGTTATGGCTGCAGTTTCTGCATCCAGCCGGTACAAAGCAATCTTATCATGTCATTAGACTGGTGTTGGATTTACTGTTAACATACATAAACTTATTAGTCAAACTTAAAAAATAAAAATAAATAAATACAAAGGAAAAAGCTAAACCAACATGTAGTGTATTGAGTGACTGGTTGTCTTTTCACCACATTATTAAAGACATTTCGCGGCATTAAGGCTGATAGGGTCTGAATCTAATTTACAAACTGCAACAATTAACTTTGGTACACTCATGGTAGAGATCCTTAAAAAGGGAACTAGGGACAGTCAGACCTTATTAGAATACCACTGAAGACATTAGATCTGATCCAAAATGAAGTCTGTGAAGACCCTGAACTGACGGTAGAGACCTGTGTCGAATTATATTTCTAATGTTTCTAGTCTCAGCGTTTCATAAAACCAAGAACATCGTTTTTTCATTTTCAAAGTCTGTGAGTGATCTTAACCGCTGTCATCACCATGGTTACATGTAATGAAATACTAAGTCATCGTGCCTATAAGAGCCTCACTCTTATCTTCACCACTTATTATGGTCCCAATTACAACAGCCTTGGGAAATAATTCTGCTGAGAGGGCAGCAGCAATCAGCGATGAAGGATTTTTCTTGCCGTTATGACTCAATAAAGATTACATGCTTGACAGATAACTCACTGCAAGATATTGTTGAGTGATTTCCCAGTTTGAAAAAAAAAAAACGTTCTCTCCGAGCTGAGCCTGTAAATACTTGAGGAAGCAGCAGCGCTTTGTCAAGTCCAACTCATCTGTGGCGTTTGGCTTTCCAGATAAAGGAGTTGCTCTTCTGTTGTGTTATTATAAAGAGCAATCAGCTGCTCACACAAATTGCTCTCAAATGTGACGAGAAAATACTTCTTTTCTTACTTCTTTAGAGAGAAAAACAAAAGACTCAGAGGTGCTCTGTGCTTTTCTTTAAAATCCCTTTGCTATTTTTTTTCTAACGCGGCTTAAACTGCAGAGGTTACTGCCAAGGTTAAAAACACGGCTCCAGCTCTGTGGACTGGATAACTGCAGACTGTGATGCTTTCAGCAATGTATGAGAGAAATTTTCTCCATGATTATTTTATTGATCAGCAGTACAGCTGTCTTTTGAAATAAGAGTCTCAGTAAGTCTCATTTAGGGGGACAAATGATTTAGGTGAACATTTTTGGGGTGGCGTTTCCCTGTGTCCCTATGAAGTTACATCTATGCTTCTGACTTGCAAAACAATTACTTTTCCCTCTGCTGGTCCCAGTGTGGTACGTAGAGCCAACTCAGCAATACTTCAGGGTGTAGGGTTTAGTTTTTATTCTACGTTCTCCCATGCTAACAGTGCACTCCAGGTATTATGAGGAGCTTTGTTTCAGCTGTTTGTTTCACTGCGTTTATGTTAAAACCCTAATAAACAATGCAGATTTATCATGCAAAATAGTAATAAAACTAAAGAAAGATGATCCCCCTGTGCTTCCTGAAACCGTCTGTTAACTCCCACACAGCTGCTGACAAAGACCACACAGGACTTCTTCTACCAAATCACAAAGCAAATTAACTATAAAAGAAGAATCGTGATCCCTAGTGATTCCTGTTCTGCTGTTAACGCCTTTTCCTCCCTCAGACACCTAGAATAACAACGCTCGATCGCAATTCACACAGCAGCTATAGTCAGCCAGGACGCAGTCACAGAGCAAAATAACAATGAAAACACAAGCAGGCTCCCTTGTGTGTTAAATGCTTCAAACAAATCATCCCTTCTCACACTGTTTCTTAATTAAAAAATCTGACAATATACACAGAAAGATCATGGCAACATAACAGAACTGCAGGCAGGTTTAGCATGATAGGCATCTCAAAAGAAGAAAGAGCGGTGTCCTATCTGTGATGCAATAAAAATATGTGTTTCTTAAAGGTCCAGTGTGAGGATGTATTGGCAGAAATGGAATATAATATTCAATGGTATGTATTCATTAGTTTATAATCACTTGAATTATTAGGACAATATTGTAAATTGCAATTACTTTGTCCAGAACAATCGTGACATGAAATATTCATATCATCCCATGCATAGTTTTTATACTTGGATTTTAGACCGATTAAACAAACAAAATACTATATGTTAATTAGTAAGCTTTAGTGCTGGCAGATTGTTTCCCTTTGTTTCCTGTCTTTAAGTCTTTAAGCTAAGCTAAGGTAACTGGTGATGCTAGCTTCATACTTAAGTGTACCAACGTGAGAGTGATATCAATCTTCTCATCCAATTCTCTTCAAGAAAGTGAATAAGCTTTCCTAAAATGTTAAACTGTTCCTTTAATGATTGTATGATGGGTTTTGGTAATAAAACAAAGCATCGGACAAAATCAAATGTTGACCTGATGATGATGTAAATCCTAAAAGGGAGTCAAGTATGTCTGAGCCAAATTGAAATCCATCCAATAGTTGTTGATATATTTCACTCAGAACCCCAAATGTCAACTTTATGGTGGAGTTAGTAGGATTCATCCCAGAGGGCCATGAAGGTCTCTACAAAATGTCATGGCAATCCATCCAAGAGTTGCTGAAATATTTCAGTCTGGAGGAAAGTGGTGGACAAACAGCCGCCCACCCATGAAACATGCCGCCAGTAGCTAGCTAAAATGTATAATACACGATTCAGTATTTCTGTATCTCTATCTCTGTATGTTACAACATTTACACAGTGTTTCTTTTAACCATGAATTACGAGGATTTCATCTGATGAATGACATCCTTGTGAGCTATAGGGATGGGTTCCAGTTGAGAATCGGTACTTAATTGTCTGATTCATTGGATTTGTATGCGTTCAAGCTTATCAATATCTTT